CCTCATATTACAGACACCGTCCAGGCTCCCTCGTCGTCCAGATGGGGACAGATTCAGATCTGGTTGACTTCGTATCACAGACGTCTGGGTCCCCCGAGTCATCTGGATGATAAAGCTAATAGGTTCAAATGGAGTTGACCTCATATCACAGACAGTCCGGATAATAATGCTAACAGGTATGGAATCTTTCATCTCCTTCGGACCACACTTTTCTAAACTAGTGCACTTATCCGGGATTAGAAGACATTCCTTTTGTTGTTGAGAGAAACATGAGGCAGTCTGCTTCCACAAAGATCACAGCTTTGGATGAGTAAATGCATGGACAGGCAAGAAAATCAAGTACGGACAGGGGAACAGGAATATACCCAAGACCACATGCACCTGTGCTACAAAATCATCCACATACATCACAGAAGTAACAAAGGACAGGGTGCAGTACCTTCTTAGAGACAACAAGACACCTTGAGGGAGAGACTCACTGGGCCTGGGGCTCGGGACCATAGTCTCGGGGGACAACATGCTCAATTAGAACAACACAGCACATAAAAATCTCGTTATACATCCTACTTTGGTGATAGTGATGGGGGTCTTAAAAGCTTTTGAGCAGCCATCTAAGATGCAACTACTGGTCTCCTCTCGTCTGGAGCAAAGAAGAGTGAAGAAAATCAAAGTTATCTGGAAAAATTAGTCCAAAGATGTGATTGGACCACGAGGACCTCAGCCTTCATGACCCCAAGACCAGAATAAACTAGATGGTGCCCAGCTCCCAACGCCAATCACTCAGACAGGGATAAAAATTGGAGATCCTGGATAGAGCGGGAGGAAAAATGTGGAACAAAGTTCAAAAACACAAAAATGACCAGAATTACTGGTCGGATAGAGGCTGGTGGAACCCCGAAGACTGTGGCCCTGGGTTATCCTTCGGGCCTGGAAACAGACTCATTTCCTTGGATTAGGCTCAGCCCAACAGTAGAAAGACCTCCAAGGAGAACACCTACCTCAGGGAGATGCACCCTTTAGATCAATCAGCCATAGATATCAGAGGGGCAGCATTCACAGGAGGAAAAGCTGGACAGACAGGAATGCAGATAAGGACACAGGGCAGGGGGGTCACAGGGGCTGGGGGAGGGCAAGTCAGAGAGGAGAGCTTTCTATGGTTTGGGATTAGAATTGGGGTGTGAAACCAAATGTGTATGAACTGTTGAGAGTCAATTTTAAATGTACACTTTTGCTTTGTAAATTTGCAGCCAAATCACAATAAAAAGTTAAAAAGAAACAAACAAAAGATTATAGCCTTGGAAACCCTATGGGGCAGTTCTACTCTGTGTCATGGGGTGGCTGTAAGTTGGAATTGACTCGACCACCACTGGTCTCTTTGGTCTAGTGGCGTGAGGCTGTGCCCCAGCACTGGGGACTGCTGGGAGAGAAGGCACATGTGTCTCACGGAGCTTCCATTCTAGTTGGGGCAGGGAAGGGGTCAGGCAACAGGGAAAGAACAAAACATCACAGAAAACCAAACATAAAACGTGAGAGAATGAGGATGTGGGTGAGTGCGGCAGGAGCTGGAACAGGTTTACGGCTGTGTAACTACTTCACATCTCCTGTGCCTGAGTGCACATCTCCGGGTTCTCTGGCAGCGAACAAGGGTAACAGGATTCTGGTAACTTTGCCAGCACTGGGAGGCTCCATTTTAAAAAGACCTGTGCTGTAGAACACTGTGCCCAGACTATGGCTCCCCACCACCTGTCAGCTTGTCCTCCTGCGGTGGCTTACGTGGTGCTGGGATTCTGGAAGCTTGGCCACCAGTATTTCAAATACCATCCGGGTCACCCATTATGGGCAGGTTTCAACGGAACTTCCAGACCAAGGAAGACTAGAAAGAAAGACCTGGCAATCCACTTCTGAAAACTGGCCAGTGGATCCCAGCTGGAAGGCGGGGAGGACTCAGGACACACGGTGGACCAGCGCCCGGCAGAGTGCTGACGGCGGGGAGGACTCAGGACACACGGTGGCTGGGATGGTGGACCTGAGTGTGCCAAGGCCGTGAGGACAGCACGGGACCCGGCGTGACAACTACAGACCCACCTGGTGGCCCTCTCGGTGCTCTGCCGCAGCTCTCTGACCTCTTCCTGCACCTGCTTCGGCTGCGTGAAATGCCCCATGAAGTTGAAGTGATTGTCTGCATACGGCCGGTGAACTGCTGGCAAATAGTTAAGTCCCAGTTTCTGTAAAAATTCCTGATAACTGATGTGCCCTCTTCCCTCTGTGTCGTACCTGGGGGGAGAGAACAAAAGAAAAGCAAAGCTCCCGTCAGTGGCCACCGGGGTGTTGCGGGTCCTGAAGGACTTGGGGAAACCCACTCTTGGACCTCCCCACTAGAAGCCTGCTCTGGGGCCTGCAGCAGCACTGAGCTCACCTGGAAGGGGCCTGGAATGCATATTCGTGAGCTGGCACTGGTCAGAAGCTGCTTGTTAAGAGGACCTGCACCCAAGTGACACCCACTCTGATGGTGCTGTGATTAAAGCACGGGCTGCTAACCAAAAGGTCACAGATTGGAGTCACTAGCTGCTCCACAGGAGAAGAGGAGGCAGTAGGTTTCTGTGACGTTTACAGCTTTGGAAACCCCGTGGTGCAGTCCCACTCTGTCCTCTAGGGGCGCTGTGGGTCAGAATGGACTCCACAGCAGTGGGTGTGAGATCCTCTCTGTCCTCTCGGGGCGCTGTGAGTCAGAATGGACTCCACAGCAGTGGGTGTGGTTTGGGCTTTGCTTCTGTGAAGACTGACAGCTTTGGAGACCCTGTGGTGCAGTTCCACTCTGTCCTCTAGG